AAAAGAAATTTCTCTCTTTACTTGGCCAGCTAAATATGGTTGTTTTGATAAAATTTTTTCATATACATCTAACTTAGCGTTTAAATTTTCTTTATATTGTGCAACTTTAGCTTCATCAGCTTCACCCATACCTTTCATTCTAATAAATAGAATAATAATGTTAGAAAGTGTTTCAACGATAATTTAAATAAGTTATACTTTTTAAAGACTTTTTCAAAGACAATTGGACTAGCATATGGATCAAAATAAGATGTTTCTATGGATGCAGCTTGTTCGAAGAGGCCTTGTGAAGCGGCATCTTTGCTTGGAATTAATTCAGTACCTTTTCCCTTGTATTTTATTTCTAAATAACGGCAAATGGCACGTGATTCTAATTAAAAACACAAAAAATAATCTTATAGTTATTATTATAAAAAAATGATTTTAACTAACCATAGATTTTAAATCCATCTTCATCAACAAGAACTGGAATAACACCAAATGGTTGTTTTTCTTCTAAATATTTTGGTGACTAAACATAAAACATAATATGAGAAATAATCATTGTTCGTATTAAATCTTACTTTGTGTTCGCCTGCAGCAAAATCTATATTTACTACTTCATATTTAAGACCTTTTTCAGTAAGTGTGGTTAATACACGTTGTGTACATGTTGACATAGCCAAACCATAAACTTTAATCACCATTTTTTTGATTTATGAATGTAACTAGCAGTTGTGTAAGCAAGCTGTGGAATGTAATGAGCTATACAATAAATGTCTTATATTTATATATGAGCGACAAAGTGCAGTGTCATTGATGGACGTTTAATAACATGCCTGGTAAAGTACGAAAGGAACGCAAAAAAAAATAAAATGCTTCGTCATGTTGTTCTTACCAAACAAAAAATAAAGGAGGAAAATATATATCATTCTTGTTGACGACTTTTATTCATCGATTCATTTCTATGTATTCACGTGGTTATTCTGACAATGCAAATTTTTTGCAATTGTACCCATTTTTAAAATAGAAAAAAATGTTGTCAAATTAATTTCTTTTCACTTGCTGTTTGTATTCAGTTTTATTATGAAACTATTTCATAGATACAACACTATATACTATATATATATAAAGATAAATGAAAATCATTTTCTATGATCATTGAGATAAATTGTATGTAGTTATGAAAAACAATGAATTTTTGTATTTTTATTACCAATTAAAATATATCAATTCGAGACGGGCAATCCGATAAACATGTATTAAAAATAGCACTCATTTTAATTAATAAAAAAATCTTGAAGTTGTATATAGAGTAGAATATTGAAGCTACGATTCTGTTTTATTATTTTTACGTTGAAAAGCTACCGTATTTTGTGTTTCCCACTCATGCGAAGCAAATAAATAAAGAATATGACATATGCAAAATATTTTTGATCAGTGAAATATATTACGCACTAATATGCAATGCAAAAGTCTTTGCACAAATGTCACACAATCTTAGATCACACTTGCACTAAAAGATACACCAAAATGTAGTGCAGGAAAAACTCTATAGATATTTACTTTAGTAAAATGTCTAGATCCGTTGTTGACTCTTCAATCAAAAAAGTTTTAAACATGAAATTTCTGTAAAATATGGTCTTTTTCAAGAACTACCATTTTAGAAGAAAATTAGCCATCATTTTCAGAAAACATGCGTGAACTGAATTGTTTTTTGCGTTATTTGTCAGAACTATGTCCGACTGTGGAGATTTTGCAGAAAAAACATAATTCAAAAAATTTGTTTTCGGTATAAAACGGTAGGTGGTAAGCACGACCAGGTTCTTTAGTCTCTTCCAGAAAATGCTATGTCTTGGTATAAAAACCAAGAATAAATTTAACTTCCAGTATACCATTCGAAGGAGCACTTTTTATTCTACAAGAATCGTCATGTATTGTTTTCTTATTTCTCTTCTCATGCACAAAAACGAATAGCAAACAGAAAATGATGTTGCTCAATGGTAAAGTTGTACGGACCTTTTTTTAGAGGTGTTTGGTTTTTGACCTTTTCTCCTTCTCAGATTCGTTATGGAAAAATATGTCTGGTACAAAATTCGTAGTTCACACTTTGCTCTTTACAACAACAAAAAAATTGATTGGCTTTAAAGTCGGCAAGATGGTCTAAGATTGTTTGACATTTGTGCAAAGACTTTTGCATCGCATATTACTAAAGACGATGTCCCAATATCCGAAATATATTTTATCGAATCCTATTCATAAATATCTATTTAATTATAATAATTTACCTGAATATATATATTATAATTTCAGTCAATTTTATAATTTAAAACCAAATACATCTTTACAAACTTTATATCAAGCATTACCACGTTCGTATAAATTAATTAAACAAAAATCTTTAGCAAATAAAACAAAATCTAATAAACAAATAAGAACACGACGACGACAAAATGATGAAAATGGCTGTAAATATACATATAAAAATATATAATATAGTTTAATTATTTTAGATTCAAATAAAGAGAATTATCCAGCTGAGTTACAATTTACACTAGGGGTAGAACAGTTCCATATTAGTTCCGTTCTTAGGAACTGTTTAATAGTTCTTTTGAAAAGAACTGAACTGAATCAACAGTTCTTTCAGAGGAACTGCTCTGTTTCAAATTTGTTTTTATTTACGAAAAAATAGTTTTCACAACAGTTCTCTAAAAAGAACTGAACTGATGGTTCTTTTGACCAGTTCATCTGAACTTGGAACTGCGAGCTGTCCTACCCCTAATTTACATCCGATGAAAAATATCGACTTGTATCAAATCGTGGAGATGAAAATCTTGTTATTTTCAACTTAAATGAAAATAATGAAAAAGAAATTTTAAGTCTCAAAGAACATCTTGATTGTAATGGTTCATTTACACGATATTTTACATTTGATCCAACTGCAAAATTTCTACTTATAGCTAATCAAAAATCAAATAATTTAGTTTGTTTTTCATATAATCGTGATAATGGTTCATATACATT